AGAGAGAGAGAGAGAGAGAGAGAGAGAGAGAGGGAGGGAGGGAGGAAACCAAGAAAAAGTGAGACGAAGACAGAGAGATAAAGATATAGATTCAGAGAAGGACCAGACACAGAGGGACTGAAAAAACTGAGAGAAAGAGAGAGAGAAATACAAACAGTGCAGAGACATTAAAAGAACATTGCACCAAATATTACAAAGTGATCTTGAAATCTTTGACGTAGGATATTAGCTAATAGAAATAAGCAAACATGTGCTATGGCAAAAGATGATAAAATGGCTTTGGATTTTTGATCTGGGAAATTCTCAGTTGGGAAAATAAGACCTATGCAATGGCAAGAGAGAACAAGGCCTTTTAACCTGACCACCCTGTTATTTCATTATTACCATCTCTTTCCTGGTATTGAACTTTAAGAGTGGAAATGCCAAACTGTTTAAAATGAGAAATAAGTTGTAGGGTCCTCAAGGAAAAGGGAAAGAAGGACTCTTTACAGATAGACATTTTACTTACCTTTACTTTTCCTAGTTTGTTGCCTTGGGGCTGCTGTGGGTAGAAAAAATAAAAAGAGATGAGTAATGTTTAGGGCATGAGTCCTATGAATCTCAAGAGGTTTCAGTTCTGGATAAGGGCAATATGCGATCGAGGGCCCCAGTGGAATTCTATCAAGAGTGCCATTATCCACTTGGCCAGAAGTTCATAGTCAGTGACAAAATCATCCTATGCATTTCAATGCTTTCGTAGCTGTAAGTAGAGGAGATAAGAGAAATGAGGGAACTAAATATAAAACGTGCAGAAAAATTAGATATTGTTATGTTCCACCTGATCTCAGCACATCTCTGAAAGAATAGAAACATCTTGCTAATCCACCTATTTCTTCTTGTTTTCTTTCCCTGAAGTTAGTGGTGTGAGTAGTCTTGAGGCTAGGTCTAAGATGGATCCTTCCTTAGAAGAAGTGAAGAGGCTTTGCATAAAGGGAGAAATTATGGCCAAGATGTAGCATTTCTTAATTTTGTGCTTTAGGTAGAAATATTTTGAATAGGCATTTGTCCTTTTGAGTTACTAATATTACATTTCCTTCTTTTCCTCTTCTGCTCTCTGAAATTTCACTATTTCGAAGGTCAAAGTAGAAGGGAGGGACAGAGATAGAGAGAAAAGGTGTGTGTGTGTGTGTGTGTGTGTGTGTGTGTGAGAGAGAGAGAGAGAGAGAGAGAGAGAGAGAGAGAGAGAGAGAGAGAGAGAGAGAGAGAGAAGAGAAGAGAGAAGAAAAACAGAGCTACAGTGACAGAGAGATAAAGATACAGATTCAGAGAAAGACCAGACACAGAGGGACTGTGAAAAACAGAGAAAGAGAGAGAGAGAAGGAGAGACAGAAAAAGAGAGAAAGAGACAGAGAAATAGAGACAAACCATTAGGGCCAAGACAGAGAGTGTTTAATTGAAGATGACAAAGTGGTCTTGTGAGTTGTGATCTGCATTCCCTGGTGAAAAAAGACTATGTGCTAAGGCATTTTAACTGGATTACCCTCTGTTTCTGGGTACTTATCTTTAAGACTGTAGAGGACTAAGTGGTGTATAATAAGAGACAAAGTCCAGGGGCCTCAAGAAAACAGGAAAAAAGACTTTAAGAATAGACATGTTACATTCAGGTTTCTCAGATTGTTGGCTTGAGGCTTCTGTGGGTAGAATAAAGAAAAGGAAAGAGTGATATTTAGGGCAAGAGTTCTATGAATTTCAAGAGCTTTCAGTTGTGTTTAAGGGCAATCTATATTCAAGGGTACAAATGGCATTCTATCAGGAATAGAAGCACCCTCGTCCAGAGGTTACATATCCAGTCATATAATTCAGAATTCATCCGATTGTTTTCAAAGCTGCCATAACATTAAATACAGGAAGTTTGAGAAATGAAGGAAATAGAGAGAAAAAGAATGGAACATTAAATGTTGTGTTCAGTTGGATCCTACAACATCTAGTGTCAACATGATATAAGATAGTTTATCAACTTTTAAATTCTAGGTAAATAGTGAAGATAACCATGGCAGTAGAATGAACTGAAAAAGATATATCTGGAGAACATAATTGAAGCAGTGTGACTCAAGTAGAAAAACATTATTCAATAAAAATTATTGTGTTTTTGCTAAAAGTCTGTGCCCAAATTTTTGGCATCGAGCACCTCCTCAGGCCATTGGGCTATCTAAATTAATTTTTCAAAGTTAGTTGAAGTATGCGCATGAGCCCTTTTTACTTCCCTGACAGATCTTTCACCTACTAAGGAGAAGACCACAAAAGGCGAATAAGGGAACTAATCCAAATTATTTTTCCCAGTCCAGAGTCTGAAAAAGTGACAGTAATTTGGACTTACATTTACTACTTATCTAATATTAAGGAAAGCAACAAAGTAATTAATAGAAATCAACCCAAATGTACTCCCTTTATCCAGGGACAGACACTGATTGAAATATCTTGTCAATCTTTCTATTTCTTCTTGCCCTCACTCTCTGCAGTTAGGGCTGTGATTAATTTGTGGTTAAGCCTCAGATGAGTCCATTCTTAGAAGAAGTGAAGAGGCCTTGCATAAATATGAGAAATATGGCAAGGATGCAGCATTTGTTTATTTAGCCTTTCAGAGCTAAATCTTTTGAATAGGCGGGCATTTAACCTTTCTGGTTCTTGGTACTACATTTCTTTCAAAGGATAGACAGAGACAGACAGGGAAACAGAGAGAGATATGTAGACAGAGGACAAACAGAGACAGAGAGCATTTCATTGAAGACATCAAAGTGACCTTGAAATTTTTATCCAGGAAATCCCCTGCTGGAAAAATGAGATCATATGTTATGGCAAGAGAGAATAATTAATTTTAATTTGAGCACATGCTTAGTTCATCATTACTCTTTTTTTTTTGTCTGGGTACTGATCTTGAATAGCATAAATGTCAAATGGTTTAGAATGAAAGATAACAATAACAAGGGACTAAAGTGAAAAGGAAAGAAAGACTGTTTAGATAGATATGCTACTTACGTTCAGGTTCAGCAGGTTGCTGGCTTGGGGCTTCTGTGGGTAGAAAAAAAGAAAAGGAAAGAATGATTTTTAGGGCAAGAGTCCTCTGCATCTCAAGAGTTTTCAGTTGTGGATAAGGGCAATCTGTGATTAAGAGTCCCATTGGGACTCTATCAGGAATACAAGCATCCACCTGACCAGACATTACACATCCACTTATAAAACAAAGAATTCCTAACTTCCATTTTGAAACTTTCATAACATATTAAATACTGGAGCTTTGAAAAGTGAATCAAATAGAGACAAAATTGATGGAAAATTAGACAGTAGTGTGATCAGTCAGATCTTACAATATCTATTGTGATAATAATATAAAATAATCTATCATCTCTTGAATTCTATGTGCATAATGGAGATAACCATGGAGGTAGAATCAATTGAAAAAGAGGTACCTGGAGGACATAATGCAAGCATTATGACTGAACTAGGAAAACACAATTTTGTTAATGATTTGTGACCTATTTCTTTGATATGCCCTATGCAGTAAACCTTTGGTATATCTAAATGAAACCTTCAAAGTTAATAGAAATGCGAGTTCAGCCTCTTTTGTTTCCATCACAGGTTTTTTATCTACTAATAAGAACCCAAAAGGCAAATAATGGAAACTAATCCAAGCTATTTTTCTGAGGCCTGGGTCAGAAAAAGGGATGGTAATTTGTCCTTACAAGACCTCCCTAATAGTGTAACATAAAGGAAAACAATAACAAAGGCATCAATTCAATTCACTAAGAATGTGTGACTTTTCATTGGAGTGGAACACTTTCTCAGGCCATTGCCCTACCTAAATAAATCCTTTGAAGGTATTTGAAGTATAACCTCTTCTATTTCCCTGACAGAACTTTCACCTACTAAGAAGAACAGGAAAGACACAAAATGGAAACTAATTCAAACTGTTTTTCCCAGTCTAGGGTCAGAAAAGGGGACACTAAATTGGACTGATTGACTTCATGATTTGTCTGATTCCCCACACTGGGATGCTAATCTGCAATCACCAAAAGGAAAGTAGATTGTAAGGGAAGATAAGGAACAACAAACCACAGTTTTTGTATAAAGTCGGAATTATGTTCTTGTGCAACAAGCTCTGGACTTGGTGTTGCTGTGGTTTAAAAAAAAAAGAAGGAAGAATGAAATTTAAGGCAAGAGTTTTGTAAACACCACATTTGGCCCTAGTGGATCAGGGCAAGTCATGTTAAAGTGAATGTGGTCCAATAGCATTATCTGCAGAGCACAAATTTGGATCTACATAGCCTGAGCATACCCATATCATCATTAAATAAAGAATTAACTCCACCTATTTGAAACCTACCACAGAATACTGGAAAGGGACTGGTATATGAAATTGAATGGTATCTACAGGAAATCTATCCAGAACAGAGGATTATATGTTATCCAATGAAGAAAATGGAGGAGAAATAGTTGAAAAATTGGGTATTGCTGCAGGCAGCGTAATTTCACAATATCTAATGCGGATATAATGTCAAGTAGGTAATCATGTTTTGAATTTTAGATTTACTAATTAGTATTTTGGTGTGTCAGTTTAGATTACTAATAAAGGTAACTCTGGGAAGTAGGAAGAATTGAAAAAGAAATGTTGGAAAGATGTTCAATTAAAACATGAATCATTATGAAGACCAAGAGAAGTAAAGATAAATTCCAAGGACTACAGGGAGAGTCAAAATAAATCCATAGAGGAGATGAATTAGGACTTATATTATTGAGCAGCAGGTTTCTGGCTCGGGCTGCTGTGGGTAAAGAAAAGGAACAAGTAAAATTTATAACAAAGTTCCAAAGTTCACATATATCAATCTAGGTGGGGCAAGTTATGTTCAAGTCAAGAGGATTCAATGAAATTTTATCAGAAACACAAAAATGGACCCACTTTGACAGAAGATACCTATCTCATCATAAAACTGAGAATTTGTGCTATCAAACAATACTTTAGAAGGGAGGTGTGAGATATCCTGAAGGAAATGGAGAAGAGAGGGATGGAAAATTGGTTATCTGTGGAGGCCACCCATCTAATAATCTCCATTGCAGTCATGAACGAAACTTGGATCTATTTGGCCAGAGGATACATACACCTTATAAAAACGAGAATTCATCTTATCCATTCCAAACCTGTCCCAACATAAATAAGGGAATTATGAGATACAATGAAAACAAATAATGGAAAATTAATCATTTGTGGTAGCCTGATCATACCACATAGAAGTAGCATGTTGAAAAACAGATGATTAGAAGCCACAGTTGAATCAGTGTCACTAAATTACAAACTGATTTTCTATAAAACTATGAGGTGGATTTCTGTCAAATATCATGGCTTTTTTTCTTAGTGTTTAGTCAAACATAAAACCATGTTGGTTTATTGAAGGGAAGCATTCAATAGGAAGAGAAACTCCAGCACAAGCCTTGCTCATTACCCTGAGGATCACAGGACATAGTTTACTTCTACTAAGTACTGCAATAAAAAAGGAAAGTAATAGAAATCAATCATAGTTGGTTTTGTCAGTGCAAACCCAGAGAAATGATGACATTTTATCGGTATTCTTTTTGTATTCTTTCACTCTTCTACATCAAATGGTTTGAGTTGTTTTGATGTTAGCTCTGAGATGGCATCTTGGTTTAGGGACTGAAGAAACTACCTATAAAGTCAAATGACTCAGATTTCTATATCTTCATGCTGTGCTTCAGAACCAAAATCTTCATGCTAGTACTGGTCCCAGATGAATTGCCAATGCAGAAGTGGCTCTCCCTCAAGGGTTGAGGTTGACTGAAAAGAATCCCCTTACTCTAAGGGTAAAAATAGAACTTTCCTGGGTGAAATTCCCTCGAATGGCTTCCCAGAATAAATAGACCAACCCAAATGGGAATTCTAAAAATTTCTCAGATGGATCCCTACAACACATATACCAGTCCTGATGGAGGTCAAAATGAAAATAATTCCAGTGGTCCCTGAAACACTTAGAGGAACCTCAAATTTCTCAAACAGATTCCTAAAACACTTTAAGGAAATCAAATAGAGGTCTGTATTCAACCCCATATAAGACAAGTCAATAACATTTATCAAGTGCTTACTATGCACCTGACATTTTGCTAATGGCTAAGGAGATAAAGGTAAGAGACAATCCATCCTCTCAAGGAGCTCATAGTGGTGGAGATAACATGCAAACAATTATGGGCAAACTATATACATGATAAATGGGAAATAATAAATACAGGGAAGGCAGTAGAATTAAAGGGGATCAGGTAAGGCTTCTGGTAGAATGTGAGATTTTAGGTGGGATTTAAAGGAAGCCAGGAACTGGAGAAGAATAAGGCTTAGTGTAGACATGATATCTGCCTTCAAGCACTTAAAGGATTGTCATATGGAAAAGGGATTAAATGTGTTCTATATGAATGTAGAGAACAGATATAGGAGCCATGGTTAAAAGTTGCAAAGAGGCCAAATGAGATTTGTTATAAGGAAAAGCTGCCTGAAGCCTAAAACTATCCAAAAGTAGAATTAGTGGACTCCAGATGTAGTGGCCTTTCCTTCATAGGAGAGCCTCAAGAAAAATTGGATGTCTGCTTCTTAGGTAAGACCATTTTTTCAGGTCTAGGTTGAACTTTATGGCCACTGAGGTCCTTGGTTAAGTGATTCTGTCATTTAATCCAATCAAACAAACCTTTATTTATGTCCTATTTATTAGATTATTATTTAAACCAAATCTGTGATTTCATTATTATATAAAACTCCCAACAAAGGAATTCCTTCTACCACTGCAGCTTGGCATGGGGTCTGCAACACATAGCCTTCAAGAGTTGCTTGGAACCCTGAAAAGTTAAGTGATTTGCCAAGAGTTGCATAGTCAGCATGTATCATAAGCAAAATCTGAGCTGAGATTTTCCTGGCTCTGAGGCTGGCCCTTTATTCGGTATGCCATGGTCCTCTCACTGGGGATTTTTGTGGCTGTTGAGTCATCTCAGTCATGTCCAACTTTCTGTGACAAAATGAAATTGTCCCTCAAAGAACTTATATTCCATTGGAGGAAACCCAATATGAAGCAAATAAAGACCATATACACTTAGAGAGGAGAGAGAGAAAGAGAGAGAGAGAGAGAGAGAGAGAGAGAGAGAGAGAGAGAGAACTAACAATTGAGAGATCTGGGTAGACCTTATGTAGCTACTGAGCTCTCCTTGAGGGAAGCTAGAAATTTTATAAAGATAGCCAACAACTGAGCATATGTCAGGCATGAGGAGAAAAGCAGGAGAAGAAATGTCATGAGCAGGCAATAGTTAGTCTTCCAATTTCACTGAATGAAGAATGTGAAAAGGAATGATATGAAATATGTCTAAAAAGACTGCTACAGTGAAGACATTTGAATAGAGTGTCTATCCCGTGTCCAAATTAGAGAGAAAAGTGAACAATTCAATCATCTGGGCAAATAAATATTCAAAGGTTTGTTGTCTCAGTAATTAGGTATCTGAAGGAGTGATGGAATTGTCTGTTTTTCATTTCAATATTTTGGTACACAGAAGCAAAAGTGTTCATAGTAGAACAGCAGTTACTTAAAGAAGATGTTGAGTTTAGGCTCATGTCCAGTGCTAGAGAAAGGTAATTGAAGTATGCAGAGGATGGAAAGCAATGGATAGAGCACTAGATTTGGAGTCAGGAAAACTTGAGTTTAAACTGCCTTAGACACTTAACTAGTTATTTCCAACAAAAATAATAACTAATAATTGCCAGCATTTACATAGTGCTTTAAAGTTTGCAAAGTGCTACAATATGCTATCTCATTTGATCCTTGCAATAACCTTAGAAAGCAGGTGCTATTATTATCTCCATCTTACCAAATCAACAAGAACCTCCAAACCAAAAGACACAATGACTCCAGTGTAATGAATAGGGAAACAGAGACTGAGCGACTTGCTCAGGGTCACACTACTCATATGTATGTGATGCAGGATTTGAACTCAGGTTTTCCTACCTCCAAGTCTAGGACTCTTACCCACTATACTGCCTAGGCAAGTCAGTTAAGCCCTCTCAGTTACCTTAGCCTCAGTCTTCTTATTTGTGAAGTGAGGACAATAATCGCACCTACCTCCCAAGGTTGTTGTGAAGATCACATGTGATAATATATGTAAAGGACTTTGCAAATCTTAAAGTACCATATAAATGCTAGTTTTTATTTGTAGAAGTAGTAATACTACCTCCCCCAGTTATCTAACTCTAGGAAAACTAAAGTAACTGAATCATTGAGAATGGCTTGCCCCAAGTCCTGTCATTTGACTTGAATGGTGAACCCCAAATCTCCTAATACTATCACAGTTTCCCAGTATTCCCCCACTTACCCTTGGGTGTTCCTTGAGCTGAGCTCAGGGCCAACAGGGCCACTGAGAGAAGGAGCAGGAAAATCTTGGTAGTACCCATGATGTGGATATCACCTGTGTTGGACGAGCCCAGGGCAACCTTCCTTATAAAGACCTAGATGCACAGTGTCCCATTGAAGCTATACACTCAGTCCTTTGTCTGAGGAATTATTTTATGCCAATCAAGTCCCTTCCATCCCTGAGCTGACCTGGGTTGTGTTGAGTTTGAAGGCTGGCAGGAGCTTCTTGCAAAAAAAAAATAGTCACGACTACATGCGACTTGCGTAAGGTCTTTGAAATCAAAGTTTCCTTGGCAGGAAACTCTCTATTGTATGGTATGTTATGATTGCAATTATGAATAATTTTCCATCTTGTGACTTCAATTCCAGAGAGAAACATGGGCTTCTTTTCATATTATGATATCCTGTGTTACACAAGCTATCTAAATATTATTTAGCTTATGCCCCTTCACTACCCTTCTTGCAATGCCAAGAATAAGTCAGTAAGTTCAATGTACAATGGAAGGATAAAATAACAGAAATTATATCACCATACACACAAATCGTGCAAGCAAGATATTCTCATATCCTCTTCTACTAGTAGCTGCATATCTAGCATTATCAGAACTTTTTGATCCCCTAAGACACAGTTTATGTGCGACCAGGCCATCATACCATGTTTCTTCTTCACCAACATTCTAAATGATATTTCTAAAAGCACATCCACTAACTAAACTTTGTAGATTCCTAATCCATTCTTCTTACAGTTAGTATGTCTGTTCGTGCTGTTTTTCAATATCCTACTTACCAGATCCCTATTATGCTGCTTTATTTTAGGTAAAGATCTTTCCCCTTGGCTATCTCTTTCTGCATTCCTATCCCCATTCCTATTCCACTCAGCCCGTGCATACCCAAGTCCAATTTGCCTTCACTCACCCTCGCAATACTATGTCCTTCAAATTACTGTTCTATTATAAACACTTACCTAAATCAATGGTGTCAGACTCAGATAGAAATGGATCTTTGCAGGCCATATGTTGACTTGGAAAACCATAAATTAATACTACCTAAATTATCAAAATGTTTTGTCAAACATTTCCCAGTTACATTCAAATCTGGCTCAGGCAATGCTTGGAAGGTTTGCAGTTTGACATCTCTGCCCTAAATTATCAATATATTTTTGTTTTCATTTCCATTCCTAACAGAAATGTAGTTATTCTCTAAGGATGAAATATGCCTAAAAACTCTGTTCAGTGCAGGTCCCCCTCTCACCACTTCCTCCTGAGTTTCGAATCGAGGCAGAGGTATTAACATGCACAGCCTGTTTCAGATCATTGCTCAGTTATCTTCACTCAAAAAAAACCTTGCATATTTTGGGTTTCTATTCTCAAAAGTAATGAATAAGCTCCTTACTGACTTCTCAAAGCAATTATTAGGGGTTGCAAAAGATCGTATACATGTATGGATGTGTGTATATATATTTGTACATATTGTATACACATATATTTATATATGTAAACTTGTAATAAACCAATAACATGTCACACGTGGTGTTTAAAAGTTATTGTTATGTGATACATATCAAACACTCAAATATTTTTGTACTAATAAAATTAATGCAGACAGAATCTGGGAAATAAATTGCCCAATGGGAAAATCTTTATGTCAAATATCACTGCTAAACACTGGCACCTAAGATAGATGGATAAAAATTGACACAAAT